ATGGGGTGCAAAGAGGTAAAATTTCTGCTCAAGTACCTTGGCCTTCCACTTGTTGCTAAGTATAAAGATCAATTATCTTGGGAACCGGTGATAGAATTTTTTGAAAGAAGATTTGCGGGGTGGAAGAGGAATTTTCTTTCTAAAGAGGGGAGATACACTTTAATTAAAAGCACGATGGCTAATCTCCCTATCTACTTCCTATCGTTGATCACTATACCCGTTAAGATCGCAAAAAGATTGGAATTAATACAATGTAAATTCTTTTGAGGTGATAATGATGAGGAGAGAAAATACCATCTTGTAAAGTGAGAAGATGTAAAAGAACCTATCAATTTTGGGGGGCCTTGGAATTAGGTCCATGGTCAAGATGAATATTGCTTTACAAGGAAAATGGTTGTGGAGGTACTTGACAGAAGTTAATAGCTTATGGAGAAAGATTGTATATGCTAGATGGGGCAAGTACATGGATAGGAAAGAAGACTACAGAATTCCTGCCACACATGGAAAAGGTTGGTGGAGAAGAATTCTGATGCAATGGGTCAATTTCCAGCATTGTATAACTTGGAAACTGGGGAGAGGAAATAGGATCATTTTCTGGGAAGACGATTGGATTGGGGATGGCTGCCTCTGCAGATGGTTCTCCTGAATTTTCAGCATTGCCTTGTCTAAACAGATGGTAGTTGAGGAAGTTTATCGAGTTGTTAATGGCAATATTGTTTGGGAGATTAATGTATGCAGAAATTTGAATGACTTGGAGGTTCAAGAGTTTGAGGATTTGTTGTTGTTATTGGCAGAGCTGTCTGTTTCTAATTCTGATGATTGGGCTGTGTGGAAGTTTGAAAAGAAAGATATTTTTTCTGTCAAGTCATATTATCATCATTTTAATAGAAAAGAGAATGTTTTGAGATGTAACTTTCCTGCCAAGCAAATTTGGAAAACTAAGGCTCCGCCCTGCATTTTATTTTTTGCTTGAGAGGCTTGTTGGGAGGATTTTAACTATTGACAAGCTGAGAAGTAGGGAAGGGTGCTCATTAATGGTTGTTATTGCTGTTTAAATCCTGAGGAAACTTGTAACCATCTCCTTTTGTGGTCTCCGATTGCTCATAGTCTTTGGAGCTTGGTTTATGGCCTTTTGGGTGTGGATTGGGTTATGGCTGGGTCCGTAGAGGGTGAAATCTGGGCATGGGATGGTTTATATGTAAAAAATAAGATTTCTTGATACCTCTGTCTGTTTTCTGGATCATTTGGAAGGAAAGGAACAGTAGAACTTTTGATAATGTTGAGAGTAGTATTTTTAAGATAAAAGATAGGTGGCTTTATTATTTTGGATGTATTTTGCTTGGTCATGATATTATCAGTGATATAGGTTTTGGGAATGTTATTGACATGTTAACATGATTGTAAATCTTTTGTAAATGGGTGGTACCCTTTTTTTGGTACTTTGTCAATATATACTATACATTTTTATCTAAAAAAAAAAATTCCTGATTAACACAACAATGAGAAGA